CTATACTCACATTAGAGATGAATCTAATATTCAGTGTAGAATATTTTACGATAAAGTAACACAAGGTCTAAAAAAAATTACTATGTTTCATAATGAACCTTCAAACACGATATACTAAATCTTATTACATGATACATACCAGTTAATGCATTGTAACATAGTTCATTTTAATGAGTATTGTTAGTTTTAAACTATAAAAAGGATTTCGTTCGAGATCAAAGTTACTATGTATACAGTAAAAATTTGTTATTTTTGCTTATTTCAACTACTTGTTGGAATTAATTTGAATAAATTCCTTGTCAAATTGGTCGTTAATAATTATTAAGATATACCTTAATACAAATTAATCTTTATTTGCTCAACAGCAAAATAACAATCATCATACATAAACTGCGATCCCCAATCATAGGCCATTCGTATCCTCGGTAAACATATCCCATGTTAAAGTTTCGTTAAAAAGAAAACGGTTGCAAGATTAAGTTTATTAAATTGAACAGTTCAATTTTATTGTTAAGATCATAAGAAACATCAAGAAATTTATTGAGAATTTTTTAACATAATAAAGTTATGCAATATGTTACGGAAATGAGTGACCCATGTGCGGGGTTACAGAGTTTTGAAAACAACGGTGAGGGTCTCGAGATAAAATTGTTGCTGAATACTATTCACTCGTCAAGAAATGGTGAAGATCTACATTCCGTGTAAAAGACTCCAATCTTGAATAGCCGAAATCTCATCGTAAAATGCCATACAATGAAGTGATCTACGATTGATTAAAAAAACAAAATTGAACTATGGTCATTACACAACTAAACTATCAAAATTATACTATCAAAATTACTGTATGAAAATAGTAATATTTAGACAGGTCTAAAGTACTTTTTGTTTACATGTAAGTTCACGATTTCCCTCCAGAAAACTTTTACAGGAACATGCTGAAAACTATCACAAACATATTAAATACGACTGTTTCCATGGCATATTTGTTATTATTTCAGAGTTAAATTTATTTTCATATTTTACTTATTTTTTTACTAAAAGAATAATTACTTGTTATCAGTGAAAGTAATAACTTACATAGTACAAATGAAACTAAAGTTTAGCAAATTGTGGCAGAAATTTAGTCTGATCCCCGGTTACGATTGTGTCATAGTAAATTTTACATCAAATTTTTCTCTTAGCGCGCACTAATACCTTATTCGGTTCTGATTAACATTTAGTAGCCTAATTGTATTTTTGATCGAAAAGATATACCTTACTTTGCAAGAATTGTGGTCTTTCGCCAAAGAACTCACAGCGAAAGGAAAGGGCATTAGTTTAATAGTCCGATATTCTTGTGTGTCGCCATTAGGTAACGGACAACCAAGGCGGGGGTGGAGACGTCGGGGTAATAAGTTACAACGGAGTATTGCAACTTTGGAGCAATTTCGTTAAGTATAAAAGCACTAGCTTCAGAATACGGATGACTTTTGTAGGCATGAAAATGTGGTTCAATTCTGCATACGAACCGAATAGTGAGCTCGAAATGATTTAGTTATGATATCTATCTACCATATAGCTTTGGTATTTCGAGAAACTTGCCTGTGCGTTCATGTCGTGAAAGATCTATTTCTGGTCCATAGCAGATTCTTCTAAAGATCACCTCTCTTTTTATTTGCCGGTAGTGTCAAGACCGTGGTGATTGACAATCTCTCTTGCGACAATCCAGAGAAGGTGTTCGGTATCCTTGGTATGGAAACTTCATCGAGATGAAATATCGTACCGCATTAGTGCGGGATATAATATATGTATACCTATATAGGATATGGTGTAATATAAAATAAATCACAGATTAATTATAACTTAACGTAATTGATATCCTCAGTGTAGTAATTGTCGCGTGTGTGTGAATATACAAAAAAACTGATGGTATTACGCCCGGATAATAAAAAAAAAAAAAAAAAAAAAACGGGATTTTCTTCTCGGGAAGATTACCATTTCTTCGGCCCATTAATTGTTTCTGATTGTACCTTTTATGAGGAACAAAACAGTTCATAAAATCAAAACAATCCCATGTAGAAACTTCGGTACACTGTCGACTATCAGCAAACATTTGGCTACTGGCCCAAGGTTGACGTCCAAATATCGTCCATCAATGCCTGCCCAATGTAGCGCCAACTGTAAAAGAACCATTTCGCTAACGCTGAGCTAATAGTAAATTTCCAAAGTTAACTTACCGTCAATGTAATCTTAAATCACAGCTGCCCTATTTGTGACTCACAATTATGACAGCTTGAAACCAGTTGTTCATTTTCAATCGGAAAACAATTTTAACAAAAGCGCCATAGAGGGCAGAACATTTATGTTTATATGTTTAATATTTGGTTGATTTAATGGACAGCTTTGTCTTTCAAAACTATTACGAATTTTTTTATTCTATGTTGTGGCGATTATATTAGCCGATTGTCAGTCCGTTTTTTGCAAAAGTTATCATATCTTTTATCTTTATTTTTCTTCACATAGCTGAACGTGGATTATCTACCATTTTTAACTGATGATTGGTTACCATTTTTGAGTCAGCATCGATCAAATTAGGTCAATACTACTGGTTATATATAAACGAAAAAAGGTTGGTGTTGAAAATTCTTTTTTCAGGCAGTAATAGAATTGAAGCGATGTGCAAGCTAATTTCATTACAAGTTAGACAATTTTCATGTTTCCGCTATTTTTCTAAGAGATTAATCATATCGAAAAATTGCCGTAAAATTTGTATGGAAATATTACGAAGCTAAATGTATTCGAATTATGGTGATAGATTATATGGTACTTTCAATTACAATATATATAAGTCATGGTTGCACGCATCCGTAAGGTTGCTTGTGGCAATAGTAATTTTGATATTTGAAATACTTACTGTGATCCATTACTAGACAACTTCTTAACACAATGAACATTTATTTATTCATATAAACCAATAATTTCCTATTTCAAAGGGAAAAACTATATATAATAATTTTAAACAGAATAATCCAAATATTTACATACTTTTACTATGTATATGAAATATAATGGATTGAACATAAATTTGTTAAACAACTAAACTTTTATATGAGCAACAAATTTTATATCATTAAAAATTATATTAGACTTAATCTATTGATACTTTTTTAAATCTATTTTAGAAAGTTTCGATTTATATAAAGATTGACAACTGTAATTATTAATCGAAGTAACATTTCCAAATCAAACCGATGACACAGTGAGTAGAGTGTCGCACTCCTCACTTCGAGCATGCCGACAATCGCAGTTGCGAGTCCAACTTACAGTAGCACAAGCAGATGTATGTGTAACAGCCGTAAGTTACACACATGTAAACCAAAATAAAAAACTAACGGGTTATCTAAAAAATATCATTGGCAAGCGAGTTCCACAGAATAATGTAATACGGGAGTGGGTCACACCACTGATGGTCATCTATTTGAGGAGTAGCTACTTTGGGATCAGTTTTACGGATCAATTCACGTGGAACCTCGAGAATGTGGAAGAGGGTGTGATCGCTTGTGTGTCCAAGAATGCTTGAGGTGGAATTCACATGTACGTTAGTTTGATCGTTAGTTGCAACTGCTCACGAAAGCTCAACCTTAGATGAAAAAGTCTTTGTACATTAAAAATACAGACATTAGATGTTGAGCCCGCTAGTGTAAATTGCAATCTTAAAAACTCCATATCACGGAAACTGGAGCTGTTGGCGCAATAAGCCTTGTACACTATTTTGGTTGGCGTACGAAACATTGTCTATTTAGTAATTTAGATAGTGCTACGAAAGGGGAATTATTGGGTTTCCCTAATTCTGATCGAGTTATGGTCCAGACATCCAATCGTCGCCCCATTGGGGCTATAACGCTTTAGCCGCAGAACCCCTACTAGGATGAATAGATGTGTTTCTCATGAGGCTTCCTTATCAATATAATATTATATTATAGTTCAGAACTTCATTAAAATTGATTAGATTGTTAATATTCAATATATAAATCAAATATACGGATGGTGCAATTGTATAGCTCTGTAATTAAAACCAAATAGAAAAAAAAGGATTATAGTAGACAGAGATCTATTTATGTGTTGCGCTGCGAGCGGGATTCGAACCTACAATTAGCAGGATTCTCGAAACATGGAGTAATGATACTCTTTCGACTAAACCACCAACTATATTTGTAAAATATTACTTCAATTAAGAATTTGGATAATCAATATTTGTATATATCTGAATAGTATGTTTATTTCTATATTTTCTCTAGGAACATAATACGATATATGTATACCATTTATAAAATAAATATTTCAAGCAATGATAATTATGTTCAATATTATATTTCAACAATTAACAAAAATTAATAGAAATAAAATATTTTTATCAGATTAGGATAACATTGGAAAAATTATGTAATGCCAAAAAGTCCCTCGGTAACCAAGCTTGTGCAAAAAGTGTTCATTATTAAAATCTATAAAGATTCTTGAATGCATCCAATAATATGCCCCAATCCAATCTCAGTAAGGGCCCAGCTAAACATTCTCGTCAGTCAAGAAAATCAGGGTCTCCTCGCAGCAACATTAAAAAAACATACCTGAGAAAGTCCTACTTCAACCCTACTACAGCCTTCTTCGTATCAGGGGTACCCTAATTTCTACATAGGTACCGGAAACAATTTTAAGATCGAGAGGCTGCACAAACCGTAAGTTTGTCCTATTTCCGCCTCTCTTCTCATGTCATTTTCAACGTCAAAATCCACATGTAAGCACGCAGGCACCCACATACGTCAATACCTTCATTTTTGCCATGGGCAATTGCATAAGATACTTTCGTATATACATACATATAGTTATAAATGTGTTCTATTCATATAGTAATCGAATACTGTATAGCATATTTGTATATAAAGAGGTAATGATGGATGAACACCATATGCGAATGTGCAGAGATGAGAAGAAGTGTACTGAAGGTATTTCTGTTATTGTTGCAGAGGATGAAGATGAGTAAGGTGGGAAACCAGACAAATTCGCAGGATCCGCAGGCGGTAAATTCGCGAGTTTTTGTTGGGAATTTGAACACCTTTCAGTGCAGTAAGACGGATGTAGAACGTATGTTTCAGCGATATGGCCGTCTTGCCGGTGAGTAAATTTTTTTAATATTGTAGCGAACGAATTTGCCTTGCGATAGAACCGCTTGAACCATTTGGTCGCATTTTACGCATACGTAGTTGAAAAAAAAAAATTAATTTTATACTTCAAAACTGGAAATGCTCGACATTTGCAAGTCTTATTGTTCAATTTAAATGCTCATGATTTTTTTTCTATAAATTTGAATTCGATTGGTTAAGCAGTTCACTCAGTCATTGAGACACAGACACATAAGGCACTCAGCTTTTAGATCTTTGTGCATACACGGAGAAAAGAGTATAGTAATATTTACTATACAACCGAGTATTAGCGTTCAGAATGTGGGACACAAACCTTTACAGCGACGAGGCTCAAATGAAATTTAGTACTCGAATGCCATTTAATACTAACCAGCCTTCAAGCCATGCTACCTGTACATGAAATTTTATAAAGTTGTAAGTTTTTATTCTTGTACAAGATGAAAATTATAATTAGACAGTGTAGTAAAGTATCCAAAGTAGCACAGTAATCATTCCCATGCTAAACAAAAGATATGGCTATGTGAATTGCGAATGATTCGGGTGTCTTGTTGCGCGTGGAATTTTTCGTTGCCAAGACATTTGCCTTTTGTTTTGCCTTTAGAGTACGGTAACTCCGTAACTAACTCATTAATTTTAAGACGTCTTTTATTAAGTAATTCAATCATTTGTAGAAATTACTTTGAAAGATTAGATGAAAAATTATTTTATAACCAACGAACAAAGTTTTCCAATACGTAGGCAATTATTTCTACTTACCACTGCCATTACTTTTTGCTTTCGATCAATTTACACTTATTTATTTTAAACTACGGCGAGTAAGAAAATCATGTTCATACTTTTTGGTAATCGAAAACAAATTGTATGTGCAACGTATATACGACCTGCATCCGGAACCTAATTCATGTAAATGTAAATTTTAAATCAACAAGTTCAGTGATTCAGCCGCAAGTTTACTAATAAAAATTCGCGCCTGCAAGTAAAATATATAATATTTTTGTTTTGCGTATGCGTTTTATCGAAACCAAAAGTTATTGTTCCATCCACATCAGAAACTTGATATTACCTGTAATTGTTAGCCCGATTGATTTAACGGTTTTTTTGAAATTTTGCCCCCAAAAATGTGCGTTTACACAACAGCAAGCAGTCCTTGCTTTGGATAGCGAATGCATAGGATGGTATTAGGTTCCGTGCGATCGTGTCTAAAGATGCTGAATAATTTTCCGGACGCCTAAGTGCCTTCCGTTGATTATTCGTTTATATAATTTTCAAATATTTAGTTTAATATCGCTTTGCCGATTTGGGTCAAGCAACTTGAACGGTTGTATTCTGGTTATCGTTTAGAATAGTATTCAACCCGGTTCATTTCTGTAGATTTCACTATCGTCCTCATAATCCTTCTATACTCCTACTATATCTCCAAACATTTCTTTTCATGGGGTGATTCATCCAATAGCCACATAAAGAATTTTCGAGACTTTCTTATTTCATTGTACTACCTATAACTCCGCTGACATGACTCCGCTGAACGTCGCTTTAGCCTCTACCGAACGACGCTGACGGAGATAACGACGAACTGTCAATTAATTTCGGCTTGTGCGCGAACGTCGTCTCGTTAGCAGTAAGCGAAGCTACGAAAACATTAATTATGCTTCTATTTCCGTTTTCATGCCGAGAACTGGCAGCTGTCAAGTTCCTTGATCTGCAAAGACTTGGTCGAGTTTCCATGAGGCGCAATCCTCGAAACTATAGTTTATTTTCTAATTTTCTTTTGTTTCTGTATTTTTTTTTACTACAGTCGACTCTTTAACTCAACGCGACCGGGATCGGAATTCAGTGCTATTAGAGAGAGTGGTCTAGTAGAGAGCGTTCCTTACCACGGCCTACCATGCGCCATTTGAAAGACAGAAATTGGTTAGATTAGGTTATGGTTAGGTATAGGTTACACATAACGTCTTCCCCTCTTGTCCCTTGCTTACAGAGAGAATCGAGAAGAAAAGTACTACTGGAGAGAGTAATCTACGTTGCAAAGCTTACATTGAGTAGAAGGGAATAGATACATATATTTTATTATTTATTTTAAATATTATTTTTATTTAACAATTATTAAGGTATACCTTAATAATCTTTTATCTCTCTCTTACGCTCCCCCTTCATAACCTAATCTCTGACTGATACACTCGCATCAATAACGCCTTAAAAAATATCGCCAGTGCGAATATATTACCCATATAAATATGGGTAACCTGTTCTATTTATCGTTATTGGCATTTCAGCGAAGAATTCTTTCTGAAGTTGCTCATCTTCACGTGGAGTCTGAGTTTCCACATAGTTGACCAAAATAACTTTCAATGCAAAAATATTTTCTTTTCATTTGTCGGACCGACTTTTTGAAATCTTTATGATGGATTATTGATGCTAGGCGTACCTGTGCACGCTCACATCGAATACGTCGGTGTAAGCACTTGCACACGAAACAAAGTTTTAAGTGTCGCTCTTAAAGAGGAATCACGCGATATCTTCCATTCTAGGTGCATAGGTGCGTTGCGTGCTAGTATGCGTATCGGGAAGTGGACCGTTTATTTTGAAAGTGGTGTAAGTCCATTTTTGAAAAAATGAGATATCACGTAATTCCTGCTTAATTTAATGTAAATTTTTTATGTATAACTAGTCCGTGATTAATTTCTTAAAAAATTCCCATGTTTTGTACAATTTAAAATTGGTCGGTAAATGAAATTGCATAATCATCGATTATGAAAGTAGTGTAAGTCCAATTGACAGAGGTAGGTGGCTTAGCAGATGTTTGCCGATCAGTAGCCTGTTATTTTACATTTGTTTTATATTACGTGTCATATTGCGGTTAAAAAAAACCGATAAGAAAAAACACTAATGGAGAACAGGTAAATTGGTTGCAAATATGTTGGATGAGGTTTCTCAAAAGTGCACCATACACTATTTTATATAAAACATCGATGAAGGACAAAGAATTTAAAACTATAAATTTATTACCTACACGTCCTAGAAGACCGCTAAAATTTGAAAAAATCGCCCTGGCGCCTTTGTACCAAGATGCCAGGCCTATTACTTATGAAAAATATAAAGACATCAAGTATACATCAGTTTAGTAAAATACGCCTAAAACAAATTTATATAACCAAATTACATATTGATAAAACAGTAGAAACATTGCCAGACTTCATATAAATTGCCTAAATTTTTTAATTAACAGATATGTTAACATTTAATTTTCTCAAAACATGAGAAAATGGACTTACCCCACTTTCAAAATAAACGGTCCAAGCAATACATAATTTATCAATGGTCAACGTAACTATCCAATAACCACATATAATGATGTATGAGGAAACAATTTAAAGTTTATCGAAGATAAATCATTAATGGTAAATTAGAGCTCTGCTACATTAATATTAGCATGGGAGAGAATGAATAAATGAATAAATGAATATCATTATTAGGCGTTTTGGGATACATATCCCCGGAGAGGGGGGAAGGGAGATGAATGGTCGAAAAGGACTGAGAGGGAGAGAGATATTAAAATAAATAGTGCCAGATATCCATTGCTCTTTTCTTTCGTCTCGAGTGCATTCGTTTGGAACTCTAACTATAGTTATCAATAGTTCCTGCAGCTTCCAAGTACCAAGCAGGAAGATGCATATCAGGGCGGTTCGATCGTTAAGGAGTGCCGTACCCGCCTGAAAATTGGTGCTAAAAGGTGTGTGACAACTCCGTAGAGATTTAATTCACTCTACGATATAAATCTCGCGAGAACAATGCCGCGAAGGGAAATAAAGTTCCCTCAGTCTGTTGCTCGCTCGCTCTGTTGGTTCGTCGGTTTCTCGTTCGGTAGGCCGATGAGTTTTGTTTTCACCGCATAGACATTTTTATAGGAAGCTATCGGCGTGGTTATAGCTGGGCTAGCAAAGGTAGGGAAGTGGCTATATTTTCTCGAGAGACATAAATCTTGTAGTGCTATGTATTCTTCTCCTATGTGCAATAACTGGATGATGATAGTCATGGTGGTGTAGCAGCGGTGACACAGTGACGACACTAGTGGCCAGTCGCGTTTTCGCCTCTATCGTATTTACAGGTCTCACAGCGGAAATCTATTCACGCGTTTGCCGGGCTGCTGTGTTTCGTAACGCATGTATGCGGTGCCGGGAAAATGTACGCCAGGAGCGCAATAAATAATGCAGCTGGTTGTGTCTGTGGTAAAACAGCCACGGCTACGTCACTACACAACTAGAGACAACCATGTAGATGCACGACCGGGCAGGAGCAAAACTCCACTATTGCACAGTCCACACGAACATGTCGCGAAACGATGTGCGATGCTGCAGCAAACCATTCTCTCAATAATATTAAAAGTAAATACCACGCAAACAGCAATACCAGTCCTACCACTATTATCATCATCGCCATCACCGCGCGAAAGCTACCGCTGCTACCACCGCCCGGGTATATTACGAAATTGATTTTTGAATATACATATATCCGGTATGACGCGTCTTTCTGCGAATTAGTATCTCTTATAATGCTGCATCGATCACCCAGAGCGAGCGGCACAAAATTTTCAAGCTGTGCTGTGTTTTTTCTTAACACAGAAAGCGCCAACGTAATTAATAGCTAGTAGTTACTTGAGGGGTCGTAGCTATACTAGGCTCGTCACGCAGTACAGGAAGCTGCACACAAAAAATGAAAGTGTGCGGTTGCAAAACGTCGATAGTAAGAGGTAGTAAAGGAGAAAATGGCAGGCAATGTGGGTGACGCGGAAGCGCAGCAGGCCGAAGTTCCTCGTAAAGCTAGACTGCCTGATTCTTAAAGCCCTTTTGAATTCATAAACTGGGGTTATGGTGGAAATAATCGTGGACTAAGCAACGCCTTAACGCGTTAACAAAAAAAAAGATTACATAGCAGCTGTGCTAATTACCAACCGTTAATTTAATTGCTTGCATCCATACTCTACTCTCGCTTACTCGGGGGGTATACTTTTCGCCTTCTCCTTTATCTGTTATTCGCCAAAATTCTTTTTTGCACTTTTTTTTCATCGCGTATCATATATCCTATATGACGTATCACAACCCACATCCTCAATGTGATACGTCAAAGCTATCGGCAAGGATGCAGCTTCTCTTGGTGCAATAGAGTCGTCTGGATCGCGCTCTATCTTTTGAATCATTCATGAGCATCGCGGGACGGAAGGAGAAGCTTAAACTTAAAGGTTGGTCGACCGGGTGACTGGACGGCTAGCTGGCAAGTTCCATCCTTATTGTTAGTTGGAATGGTTGACTTATAGTCTATACCGAAGTCATGTATATATCTGCACTGTATTAGCGGAAGGAGGATAGGTATACCTACCAAAGGAAAAAAGAAGCCATTTCTTCTTTCCTCTATTTTTCAGTTCCGCCATCTCTTGGCTTGTACTCGGTGCTCCAGCTACTCAGTTATTTTTCACTCCCTTAACCATGTATTTATTTCCTTCGTATTTTCTACTTTGCCCTGTACGGTTGTCCCTACGATTTCTCTGTGTTCCCAAGCGGGTCCCGAGGAAAACCTCCATTCTCTGGTTATTCCCGCTTATCCCATTTTCTTCCTTTTACTCTTACTCGACTCTTTTTACTGTCCTTTTTTTGTCGTTTCTCTTTTTCTCCTCACTCGCTTTCCTCCTTCTCTTGTCCCAAGGCAACACCCTTTCTACAGCGACAGTCGCGTGGAAGGCTGCTAGATTAGTGCCGGACGCTCACTGAATCCACCAAGCGACGTCGCGCGTCGCCTCCTCACTTCGTCTGGCTACGCTGCCAGCGACTGCGAACTGCCGATAAACAGCTTACTTTCTTTCTTTCTCAATGAAGCCTCAGGACAATAAGCACCGCACAAAGAGACCGCGTACTTTAATTATGCTAGAATGACTGAATTCAACCACGAATTCAAAACCGAATCAAGCTCTGTTTAAGGATTCGTCGAAAACGTACTATTATCCGTTTTTAATTGCAATATACCACCCCATAAGTAAATATTTTTCTGCTTAGTTAAAAACTCAGCTCTCTTTGATAATCTAAATAGGAACATTAAAGTCTGTGAAATCCCCAACACTCATCCTATTTATGCCTTGAAATTCTTTTTTAGCATGGCAATAAGTTCACTGCTTCAGATATCTAGATTTCTTTGTTCAAAGTGGGTGCTGATTTTTCTCATTTTCAGGAATCTCCATGCACAAGGGATATGCCTTCGTTCAATTCACGAATCCCTTCGATGCTCGTAGTGCTTGCCTTGGGGAAGATGGCCGTACTGTTCTCGGCCAGATTCTTGGTAAGTCTTATTAATTATTCTTTTCATATAGCCTTTCTCTGATGCAATCTATCCGCTCTTCCGTCAGTTCGTCCCTTTTTTCATTTGTTTCTCATCCTGAAGTTATCATTAACACGTTTTGACAGTTGTGCCGTTTATTTAGTTAGCATTCGGATTAATCTTCGCTTCCTAACAATGAAAAACGATGATTGCCTGCTCCGGAAGGGCGGTTCTAAAGTGGCGAAAACTTTCTGTGAACGGAATGATGTAATATGTGTACTGTGAAATTGTCCGGTGTGATATAATATGGCATGATGTACGATATAGTATAGTGAACTATATTCTTACGTAAAGTGCGCGCAGTCCAAGAGATAGATAGAGAGAGAATTAATGAATGAATATCTATGTTTATAGCGCGCTCTGGGATTTATATTCCCTAAGAGCACTGGACCATCATTACAATGACATAATTACTTACAATAATCAAGGAGTAGAAACATAATATAATTGTAAGTATACATTTCAAGGATTACGAGCTAATCGATACTAAAATTAAAGTTGAAGACAGATTATTAACCTAGAGACGATACAGACTTTGCAGATTGCTAGTGTACATACTGTTTTCTTAAGTTTGGCTATCGACAGCAACTTGACAGTTTATTTTCTAGCAGGTACAAAGTAGAAACATCATTTAAAAGCGGAGTTGGTAAGAACAGAACTAATCATAGTGGGTAGAGATTTTCACAGAAAGATTGCTGAGAGGCAAAAGAATTTTTTGTAGAGATCCAATCTACATTTTGAAATGATCATATTAACCAATTTTACTTGCATATTTCTTATTTTATTAGAACAGTGAGTAGGAAAAAGGTGGGGAAGATGGCTAGCACGTTTGGTATATGTACATACAGGATGCTGTGAATCTATGACCCTAATTGTAAGATGTACTGTTGCCATAATGCCACTTTGAACCATTGTAATTTACTATAGTAGGAATCGATGTACTCTCAAACTTTGACGTTGAAATTGAGGGGAATTGCTGTGTTAAGAGCGCTTTGAAGCCTCTATTATTGATCTCCTGCTAGATAGCATATGCCTAAACAACAGTAATCTATTAGTGGTTGGATAAGTGCAGATATTACCTCAATACGAATGGAGTGAGAGGGCGGGGAAGTTTTCACTTAATTTTAACTAATAGATTTTAGCACAGATTTTTCTACAACGTCTGACCAATTCACAACAGATTTGTGACTCCGAGGATTTTTTTTTCATTTTCGTACGGAATTTCAGTTTGATCAGCGACAATTAACGATCATTGAAACTATATCTGATTAAAATATCAAGCATTGCTGATGAAGATATTTAGTTTTGTCTGAATTGAGATAAAGATGCCTACAACTAACCTGTATATAACCATATAGCAATGTGCCAGATAAAATAAAGGAGACTTTTCCATATTTGTTTTCGAATTACGATTAAAACGTTTATTGAATACAAAGTTATTAATTGTCTATTACAATTGACTGTTAGTGGGAAATACTGTTTGGTTAAATCTTTTAAAAAGATACGAAATATGCTGTACCAAATCTCCAGGGGGAGCACTTGCGCACAGGAACAAACCCAATTGGACACAAATGACTTCTTAGTGCAAATTCTGTCCAGTTGTAAATAGATGGAATAAAGTTAGGTTTGTACGATATCTTATTATGGCTCACCAAACACAGTTATACTAAGTGTACGTAATTTTCATGTAACCCAAAAGAACGCGCAATATCACATGTTCATTGCGTTGATATACCAATTACATCAAAATGTCCTACTCATCCATCGTAGCAAACTTATAGCTGCAATGTAACTATGTTACAGTCATGTTACGAAAAATTACATAAATGCAATGAATTATTATAACCCGGTAATATAACAGCTATACATTATAACGGTGTGCCCGGCTCATCCCCGCTATAATTAATTTATCCACAGAGCCACCAGGGAGCGCTAAAGGGCTAGAAATTTCCGAAAAATTAGGAGTTCCAATCGGGATTCGAACCCGATACCTTCGGACTGCCCAGTGGGGCACTTACCACAGTGCCACCGAACCCACTGTCCGACCTGATAAGTCCTATTTATTTATTTTTCGGTCATTCCTAGGTGTACCCTCCTCGAGCTCTGTAACGCCACGTTACAACATATATAGCGTTATATTACACGTACATTAAAATTACACGTCGCCGGTTGCAGTAATATGATTTGCACATAAAACTTAAAAAGAAAGAACTTATACAAAAAAACATATAATAAGTGAAATTAAAGATTTTTAATTTATTAATTGTTAATGTTGTAACTTGTTTAAAGATGGTGAATAGAGAATAGATCTCTATCAATCTAAATGAGATTGGATCTTACGTATGTCGTTTTTCTTCTCACTGCACTCTCTGGGTGTAGAACGAAACCATTCCGACGTCAAGCTTTCAACCTGAAATTGTGTAAACGCCGCATATATTCTACAGACGCATTCTGCAAGTCAACAATGTAACTTTATTTAAGGGGCTTGAGTTACTTAAACTTCATCAAAATAAAATTGTGCCGCAATTGCACATGTGAACTTTTGCAAGTAGGAATAAGATAACAGCTTCAGGTTAGGTAATTTACAATTTTAATAAGTTGACATTATTTGAGCGTCACCTGGCCCTTTTTCATTATTTAATATCAACATTATTTCTATTTGAAGTGGATTTATATTATATTCAACATACCTGATGCTACACTTTCTTCCTTCTTTAGCCACGCGACGCTTCTCGTTAAGTTTTTGTTCTTCTTTAACCAATCAGATTAAGGCCCTTTGTACACGTACCACGAAACACTGCGAGCAACGAGCAACGACCAATGGTAAAAGGATGCTTGGAACTGAATTATGACGTCACGAGGTGGATCGTCTCCGCTGATTGGTCACTGCGTCGCTGCTCGGTGCCAGTTCAATTTGGTCGCACAATTAACGTCATGTTTTATAATGACAGAATAACCGTATTATTATAATTGTTATATGCAATTATTACTACCATATTACAAAGCGATTATTTGAAATTGCAATACGTAGAAAATGTACGAACGAAACATGATAATTATATAATATTTCTATTGCAACGTTATAATAACGTTGTTCTTAACAAGTTACATTGCGACAACAATATGTGTGTGCCTAGTGGTTATGTGGTTTTATATTAATTTACACTAGATTTGTTTAGTTAAGGTTAGGATAGGGTGGAATGTTCAAAAACTCCGGAGACTGGATAGGTCAGTGGATAAGTATATCGTCAGTGAGCGAGCGAACCGAACAGAGCATTAACTGTCTGAAAAGATTCCGCCAGATAAGGTTAGCTCGCACTACCGTTGAATGACCGATGGAAGATCGCTCGGGAGGGAAAAATTCGCATTTGTGTCCAACTGGATCTGTGCGCAACCAGATATCGGCTCCTAATCTCCAGCTCTTAATGTCACATATCCACGCGTACATACATACATCTATGTAGATTTTACATTATTTATTCTACCGTATGTGGGTTCTGATCCTCGGTATCTGTTAGTGTTCTATCAAATGAAAGTGTTGTCGCACGAGAATTTTCTTGGCTTTAATAGATAGGGTGCAAAGCATCGCAGCGATAATTAAAAACTCTTCATTTTAACATGAATTTATACATTGTGTCCTACGGAATGATAGGAGCTGGTCTTAAACTTACTCTCGGTGTACTCTGACCTCTTAAAAAAAGATTGTTACACAGTTTTAAATATTAAGCTCTTCACACACAAAATAACGTACGTACATAACGTACATACGTACATAAAACATATAAAAATAGTACGAGAGAGAACAAAGTTCTGAGTGCATTCTTAGGATGCTTACGAGCAGCCCCAAAATGAGCATGAATTGAACCTTGTCCTGTTTCTAGTATACAAAAGCCGTTATGTTCACTGTCATCGTTTTAATACTTTTCCGACTGTCAGATTCATTAAATTATTCATATAACAGTTGATCGACGGAACAGAAATCTTGTAGAGGCAGAGGATTAGAATCAAGATGCAGTATAAAAATTAATGTAAATATTACATTAATAAAACCGTGGGAGCGTAGAGCACGAACACCCAACCTGTCAAGTTTGTGTCTAATGCTTCAGAGAAACTGAAACGTGCTGTTACTGGTATGTACCTGTCGATCGTCAATGTCATCCCCAACATCATGCGTAACCTTGGGATAGAGAGCTGCCAATAGTAAAGCTAACTAGCGTATTAAGTAGAAAGTTAATTTATATTTGCGCCCCGAACGAATATTTAGCAACCTAAGCGCTCTCGTCTTCTCTTTCACGATTTCGCCGATGGAGTCCATCCACCCGTTGCATTTGCTTGTCAACTGTTCAACTGAATCACTTTATGTATACGGACGGGTGTTTAGAGTATTTGTCACTGAAATATAATTTTGGCTATAACGGAAAGACCCGATATAAATGTATCACCGAAACGAGGAGACGAAAATGATGAGATCAACGCATAGCATATTGTAATGATTACCATACCGATTGAACAAATCTTAGTTGTGCGACTCTTAAATAGATGTCCTGTACAGCGAGGGATTATCCCTACCACTAGCTAAAATCCGATATTCAGGTAATCCACCTGTCGATCGTTCCTTTTTCGCTCTGGACGACCGACAAAATACACGCGCTAGCGTAGAGCCTAATCATCTATACAGACGAAAAAGGACTAGCGACAATAAATATAAAAATCGAAATAAGGAATAGCCGCCTTCCAGAAAATATTACAACGATCTCTACACGCTTGCCACGTGTCTACGTGGACGACGCACAACGTGTTCAATCTACTCCCGTGAATTTCAAAGGCCTTGTAATGATGTTGATGATAAAAGAAAGAGGAAATTAATGGACAACGCAACGCCACATCAAATTTTTTCATATGAACATAAGGAGTGAGAAAAGCAAAATTTTAATATACTATAACCAATAAACTGAAATCGG